TGATTCATCACCTGTCCCCGATATCTGGAAAATTCTACTACACCAATGACGACGACAAATAGGAGAAAACAAAGAAAACTATTATACTCAAGTTTCAAATGATATGATTATGAACAATACATTTAGTTCGAAACGTCATCGAGTAAATAATACTGTTTCACTGTGTGATATATCTAATAAAGAAACTAATATGGAATTACTTACTACCACAGTGCACAAGTTCTACACATGTATTAATCCGAATTTTCAACACTAATCTAAGCATTTTCAACAATCGGCTGAACACTTTCATCAACAAAAAAGAATTTATTCATAATCGATGATTGGATGAAGATTGGATGGTTTAGCCAGAGAATGTAAGTGACAATGAACATTTTTAACGACGAATCAATTAAGCGTCTGTCAGTCATCACTAATTTGTAGAATAAAATGCCGATGGCTTGGATACGAGTTTGATAGGGCTGTTGAGTGACATTGTGTGGTTGGCTTTTTGAATAAAACCGAAACAGGAAACGAATTGTTGAGTATCGGTTCAAAAGTGTGACACATAAAAGAGATCTTGTGAAGTGGAGATGAAAGCATCTAGGCAACCGTGAAACCAGCCAGGCACGGAGATAATATATTGATAAAGCTCCATGTTCCACTAGAAACTCATTAACATTAATAACTCAGTAACATTAATAATAATAATAATAACAGAGAAGACTGCATGAAGAAAGCAGAGGATTTACTCAAAGATAATAATGTATATCAACAGTTGACAAAAAACCCTATACAAACATTAGATAACAAAATCAAAAAAGACGTTAAATAAAGTAACGAAATCAGGACAAATTACAGAACAAGATCAATGGCTAATGAAATCTAACGGACCTATTTTACCTCGATGCTATGGTAGACCAAAACTACACAAACCAAATATTCCCTTACAACCAATCGTTTCGCTTCCAGGAACATCAAGCTGTAATCTATCTAAAGAACTTTTCAGGATAGAAGATTACCTAACAGAATCACGCGACCAGTCTATCAATTCGTCAATCCAATTTTTAGAGAAAATCAAAAACATTCAAGTAGAAGACAATGAAATAATGGTGTCCTTTGATGATGTCACAGCATTATATACTTCAATTAGTCCAAAACTAGCAACAGAAACTATCCAACAGTTACTCTATACTGATGAAAACTTGAAAACGCAGTGATGTTCAACTTGGATGATGGAACTCATAGAATTATGCCTTACAGCATACTTTCAATTCACTACTCAAATACACGAACAGATAAAAGGAACACCAATGGGATCATTGCCCATATCAGGATTAATAGCTGAAGCCGTCATGCAAAGATTATAATTAATAGCTCTACCTATAATTAAACCGAAAATCTGGACAGGTACGTTACGTTGATGATACATTTGTAATAATTAAGAGAAATGTGATTCAGAATATACCACCCATAAATTAATAAACAAGATATTTGAAGACATCAAATTCACAAGAGAAGAAGAATTAGGTAACAAAATCCCAGTTTGAGATGTCTTAATCAGGAGAACCAGTACAGGAAGTTTAGAAACACAAGTATATAGAAAATGAACACACACAGATCAAATACTCAACTATACTAGCAATATAAACCTAATTACTCACAAAAGAAACTGTGTGCAGACATTGTTCACAAGAGAGTTCAAACACACTGTAGCACTCCAGCGTTGAAAAGAATGGAAGAAAAATACCTACTAACCGTCTTCAAATCAGCCGTGAAAAGACACGATATATATTCTTTAGTATCGATACATATAGACAGTTATGGACATCAATTTGATAACTGGGATAATGTCAACATTTTAGACAGGGGAAACACCACTAAAAGTGCAGTCAGGGAATTCCTAGAAGCCTGGTAATCAAACAAAAATGTAATTAACAAACACGTTAATACAGACCAAATATATCAACTAATAAAAAGTAAATCAGATGACCAGAAAGTTTAAAATCCAAGTCAATAGAAAATGGTCAATACATATGTAAAGATGGTTACCGGGAGACGCAATTCTGTCACCACTCATGAAGAAATTTAAATCGTTTCTCTTTATGCTGAAGGGGATGTTGTCCAGCAGGGGGACGACGAAAGCTCCGCAACTCAACCAACCAGCTCCTCAGAGAACACTATTCATTGCAAATAATAATAATAACAGCATGATGCATGTATAATTCACTTGAGCATGAGTAGAATTAATTGATTATGAATATTTACTCTAAGTTAACAGAATACTGAGAAGTACTCAATCGACTCATCATAATCGTACTGCTTTTCTTTTCCTCCTATTGGTTTATTTTAAGAAAAATATCTTTATTTATTATTATTATTGCGATTAGATTGAATACGCCAATTTCATTCGTCTAACAAGAATTAGAACAACATATATAAGCGAACAATATTGTTTTCAATTAGATCCCCTTCTTCAGGCTTTACTCTAATTTACATAGATTTATATATAAAATTTTAACCAATCACGGTGATCTTGGGAATCAAATAATAATCTAAATAATAATAATAATAATGTGGTAAATGTTTTGAACGAAATTATTTACGTTGATTATAATGATAACAAAATATTGATAATAAGGTTTATGCAGGTGGGGCGATAAGAATAACAAAGATAGTATATGTATATAAGTGTATAAATAAATAAATTGGGTCAAATCTTAAAAGGTGAAGTGGAACGATAATCAGAGTTTAAATAAATATTATAAAAGTACGAAGGAGGTGGAAAATAAGGAAGGGTGGGAGGGTTTTGAATAGAATTCACCTAGGCTAAGCAAGGGAGAGACAAAGGTAGAACAAACTTGTCTTTTGTCGTATGCAAAGACTAGGATTGTTCTCTCGAATTAATTCCCATAGCTTCTTCGGCTAGGTGTAAAAGACGGGTTCTGATTCCATTCGATAGACTCGATGGAATACGATAGATAACTTTGAAGGCGGCACTATTTTTGTCCACTTGGTGACCGCTATCATCAATCAAATGAGCCAAAATGGAACTTCGTATGGATTTTATTTGACCTTTTCCGAACCATGAAGGAAGATGCTCATTAATGCGTTTGTTGAGCCCTATATAGCTTTCTCCACAGGAGAAACTAAATTTATACATACACATCGAAGTGGTACAACTAGGTAGCTTATCTTTCACTTGAGCAGTCAAAATTGGTCGGCTGGAAAATGACAAACAAAGGGTGACGGCGGCAGTATAAGTCCGTTTTATCGCTCTCGATAATCTCAGATGTAAGACTTCACTAGCCACGTTCCCATTACATTGAAGTTTCATGAACAGTTCTTTCTGTTGAACTGTTGTCAGTTTTTCTTTGTTGTACCTGGTATTCATGTGTCTCCTAACAAATCTACTAGGATAACCCATTTGGACCAGCGTATTTTGAATGTATCCTAGCTCATTTTCTAGGGAATCATCTGTACAAATACGTCTTGCTCTATTCGTGAGGCGGTATCTGACCAAATTGATTTTATATTGGATTGGTACAAAACTGAGGAAATGTGTATTGTATTGTCCTACAGATGTAGGTTTTCTACAGACATCTCTATTAAGTGAACCATCCTCTCTTCTGCTCAATTGGACGTCAAGGAAATGTAATCCACCATCATGTTCTTCTTCACAAGTGAAGATGAGCGATGGATGTGCATCATTAAACTTTTTTAACATTTCATTCTTGTCAGTTTTCACATCAAGAATAATGAACGTATCATCAAGGTAACGAAAATAAGAAAGAACTGTTCATGAAACTTCAATGTAATGGGAACGTGGCTAGTGAAGTCTTACATCTGAGATTATCGAGAGCGATAAAACGGACTTATACTGCCGCCGTCACCCTTTGTTTGTCATTTTCCAGCCGACCAATTTTGACTGCTCAAGTGAAAGATAAGCTGCCTAGTTGTACCACTTCGATGTGTATCTATAAATTTAGTTGCTCCTGTGTGGAGAGAGCTGGCTATATAGGGCGAACAACTAGACAACTTGACAAACGCATTAATGAGCATCTTCCTTCATGGTTCGGAAAAGGTCAAATAAAATCCATACGAAGTTCTATTTTGGCTCATTTGATTGATAGCAGTCACCAAGTGGACAAAAATAGTGCCGCCTTCAAAGTTATCTATCGCATTCCATCGAACCATATTTCGAATGGAATCAGAACCCGTCTTTTACACCTAGCCGAAGAAGCTATGGGAATTAATTCGAGAGAACAATCCTAGTCTTTGCATACGACAAAAGAAAGTTTGTTCTACCTTTGTCTCTCCCTTGCTTAGCCTAGGTGAATTCTATTCAAAACCCTCCCACCCTTTCTTATTTTCCACCTCCTTCGTACTTTTATAATATTTATTTAAACTCTGATTATCGTTCCACTTCACCTTTTAAGATTTGACCCAATTTATTTATTTATACACTTATATACATATACTATCTTTGTTATTCTTATCGCCACCTGCATAAACCTTATTATCAATATTTTGTTATCATTATAATCATCGTAAATAATTTCGTTCAAAACATTTACCACATTATTATTGTTATTATTATTATTATTATTATTTAGATTATTATTTGTTTCCCAAAGTCACCGTGATTGGTTAAAATTTTATATATAAATCTATGTAAGTTAGAGTAAAGCCTGAAGAAGCGGATCTAATTGAAAACAACAATATTGTTCGCTTATATGTCTTGTTCTAACAGGAATTACGCAGGGGAATCACTTGTTTTTACAATTACTCAAATAAAAGATATTGTACACTTTAAAAAACAATAACTCTGCCTGAACATGAGGATGTTATCATTTGTAACTATTTATAATACCATTAAAAAAACACATTTGAAATGAATTTAACGTGTGAATTCTCATTACCGACCACGGGAATCTTTACTGGTGGCTAGCTGTCGCTTGTTTTATCAACAACAACAACAAACCTTTGGATATATTTACACGTCCACTTGTTATGTCAGAAAAAGGTCAAATGTCAGGTCACAAGAACTATTACTGGTTATTACATATATTTCAAAGTGATATTCAAAGAACCTTTCAGCGATCATCTTCTACTGACAGTATGAAATAACGACGGATTCAGCTGGCGTCAAATATTCACTGTATTTATCATGTTCACCAAGTGTAGAAGTAAGTGACTAGTGTTCGACTCCTTCTTGATTGATAAAAAACATTTACACAACTGCTTACATAAACAAATTGCCGGTAATTTGACGCTTGACAAACAAACAGCTCATTCTGGACTATGAATTCTCCGGAGACAATGATAATTTTCGCTGAAACACCAAGAAACATATTTATTGAATGTCAAACACTCAAACAAAACTATTCCTTCATACAAAATTTACGGTGTATCTCCTCGAATGTAATCGGTGCAATCGTGGGCTACCTACTGCCTGTCTACAGCATACCCTGTATCCTCGCCAACCTCTTCATCGCTATCACTGTGATGTTCAGATGGAGGACAGCAGCACGTCAATTGATTTATATCTCAGGAATTTGTTTATCCAGTGCTACAGCCGATGTCTTCTTCATATGGTTATGGCAGTACCCTGCCTTTGGTTTACCGTATACAACAAACGGCACGAAATTCTTCACACTGGTGAACGTCTCCCCGACAGCTTGTCGTTTCCACCGTTTTGTCTATTCATCCAGTGCCACGCTGATGTGTAACATGCGTGTTTGCTCCTCGCTGGACAGGTGTCTGGCTATCTACGTGCCAATAAAGCTAAAACGCTTCCATCATATATACGCTTGGTTCGTGTATGGATTTATGGTGTGTTTCAGTGCATTACTCATGCTACCATTAGCTACAGAAATCGATTGGGTCCCGTCGAAATCCGGTATCAAATGTTGGTTTCGTAACAGCAATAAAGTTTACCTACAACTTCATCATGCCTTTTTGTCAAATTTAGGACCAATTCAAACTATACTACTCATTATCATCGATTTAGCCTTTGTTGTGAAATTTCGTCAACATTTTCATAAGCACACAAACATGGAGAATGCAACAGATAGAAAAAGGAAAGACAATAAAAAGTTCAATCGTTATCGACTGTTGTTTATCTCAGCAGCGTCTTACACCCTACTGGCTACAGTCCAGTGTATATTCTTATCGATTGCTCGTCTGACCAGTGTTCATATCATCAAATTTGAGAAAGGCCTTGCTTATAATGTCTCAGATATTTTATGGTATTTAAATATTCTCAGGGAAGTGTTAGACTTTGTCATATATCAAAAGTGCTTTAGAATATTTGACGTTATTCTTTTGAAGCTGTCTGTTATTAGTTTCTGGCGTACACTGACCACTAGGTCAAGTAGTCTTTACACTGGAACCGGAATGACTACAGAGTAAACTGTCGTAACACTATTGATTACATTTTAATGTGATATGAGTTTAGAGAAGAAGTCGTGTAATGGTGATTTTGATTTGATTTGATAGATACGCGTTTTTGTTGGTTTTTGTTTTAGATATCTTTTATTTATTTACGATTACATTTCTAGGGTTTGAAGATGTGTCCTGTTTAATGAATTACTGCCTTATTTTGCTAAATGATTTTGTATTCTTTTCAGTGAATTGTGTTCATTGTCAATAGTACTGACTATGACATAAATGCGGAGAATTTATTGATTTTCATTTCTAAAACAATTATATTATTTTTTAGAGAAGAATGTATTATTATTATTATTGTTCCCTTGGGTTCGTAGTGGAACATAAGGCTTCAACTGCACGCCTCCACTTGCTGCTTCTGTCTTCTGCTGTACTTTTCACTTGCATCCATGTTAGTCCATACTGTTTCAGTTCCTCTTCACACGATCTCCTCCATGTCACTTTTGGACGTCCCACTACTCGCCGCTTCCCCTTCAGGTTCCACTGGAGCGATGGCCTGACGCGCGATGTCACCCAGCGGCCTCCTCAGCGAGTGTCCAATCCATCTCCACTTTCTCCTGCATATTTGTTGAGCGATTGGTTCTTGTTTCGTTTTTTCCCATAGCTTCTTGTTTGTGATTCTTTCCGGCCATCTAATCTTCAGTATAGAACGAAGACAGTTGTTGTTGATAAAGGTCTGCAACAGGCTGTTGAAAATATTCTCGGTGACCCGCCAAGTTTCTGATCCGTATAGAAGAACTGACTGACTTGACGTTTGTATTGAAAATCCGAATTTTGTTGTTGATGCTGAGTGACGATTGGTTTCAGGTCGGTGAATGTGTTTCTCGCCTTCCCGATTCTCGATTTGACATCCTCGTCCGTTCCCCCTGTAGTTGAGTCAATGCTCCTTAGAAAAGTGAATTAAGTAACCTCTTTCAAATCCCTCTCGTTGATGGTAATTGGCGCTGGATGTTGCTGCTGCTGTTGTTGTTGGTTGGTTGGTTATTTTCATAACCTCCGTCTTGTCTGTGTTCACCTGGAGTTGTGTCTTTGCTGCTTCTTCGACCAGTTTGTTGGTTTTCGCTTGTAAGTCTTCGATTTTGTGTGACGTCAAACATAAATCATCCACGCGCGATATCCAGGTCTTCTAGGTTCTTCACGTCGGTCCAGGATATCCGTGTCTCCTCGCTTCTCACTGTCTGACGCATAATCCAGTCCACCACAATTAGGACTGGATTTCGTCATGAGCTGACATCAATTAGAGAAGCATTGGAAAACCAGCCACATGGAGCGTACTGGACAGCTGTTTCGAAATCCGGCGGATGCCTCCTGATGAAGAGTCAATTGCAGACTAGGCTGATGAAACAGCTATCCAGTACAGTTCAACCCGACTTCGAAAGTTTGCTGGAGGTATGTAGATGACGCATTCACTGTACTTAGAACACAGGAAGGATATAGAAAGATTTTTGAACACACTAAATCAAAGCTGGAGGCAATTCAATTAACTTATGATGAATTGGAAAGTTAGGAAGCGGAAATTGTAATGTTAGATTGTAGTGTAAAAAGGAGAGAAGGTGGAAAGTTAAACACACATTAGTGTTTACAGGAAACCCACACATTCAGATAGACATTTAGACTTCCGATCATCCCATCCCAAGTCAGTTAAAATAGGTTTGGTGAAATGTTTACGTGACAGAGCACAAAATCTAAGTAGTACCAAGGAAACATTTGTAAAAATCTCAGCGAGATTGAAATGAGTAATTCCAACGTTTCGTTCGGCAATCTGGTCCGAACTCCTTCACATCCTTACTTAACTTACTTACATCCTTACTGAACTCCGACCACTGCATCATACGTGTATTGCAATAAAATATTCCAAATCCCACAAAGGTGTCTTCCTTCACCTCTACATTGAATTTCAACAGAGATGCTACCCACAAGACAATCTAAGCAAGCTCAGATCCATGTTGAAAGACGCTAACCGGGACCTATTTACAGAACAAAAATTAGATGAGACAATCACAAACACGACAGATTATCTTTAATTCTTTTTCGAAATATGTTGTCCTCAAGAAGCATAATTCAGTCGATTTGACCCTTTCTCTTCTCCATTTCTCATAAAGCTACGTAGAGATAAAGAACTGTTGTTGAAAACAAATGATAAGTCAGGTGTAAGGAAGTTTAATACTCTGATAAAATTCGAAATGCAAAGTCTAAATGTTTTGTATAGCCAAAGATTCTTGTCATGTAAGACACCTTCTAGTTTGTGGAAGCTTTTTCAAGAAACTATTAGCGTTAAGCGAGGTACTTCTGTCCAATCTCTTAGTGTTGGTACTCCTAATAAGTCTCTTATACGCTCTTCTGTCGATATCCTTCCTAATGTGACAAATCATATATCTCATAAGTAAGTCTTTCCAAAGCCTTGGTGCTGATGGTGTAGCTGACATTGTCCTCAGGAACTGTGGTGATATTTTGTGTTATCCTCTTACTAATATTTTTAATGCTTCCTTTTTCCAGTTATATTCTATCTTTTGCATGGAAAAACATTAAAAGTATCCCAATACCCAAACAATCTTCTGGTACTGATATTAAATTTAGGTCTATTGCAATTACTTCTCTTTATTGAAAATGGATGGAAAAATTACTTTTACTTCCTCTTCAACCTTCATTGAAACATTTTAATGATCCTAAACAATTTGCATATAAACATGGTAGATATACCTTGGATGCTGCGGTTGTTTTAAATCAAAATCTTGTTTCTTGTCTACACAAAGTTGCCAAATATGTTCGTGGTGCTTTCCTAGACTACACATCTGCTTTTGACTCCGTACCTAGTAGGCTCTTATTAAATAAGCTTTCGTTGACGCAAACAGGATCCTGGGCTAAGAGTTGGTTGCATTCTTATTTTTCTGATAGAATGCATGCAGTATACTGTTAATATTAGCAAATCTTCTTCTGCCTCGTTTACAAAAGCCGGTGTTCCTCAAGGTGCCATCCTCTTTCCTTTTCTTTTTTCTTTCTTCCTACACGAACTGCCTCATTTAAACGAAACTGACTTTGTCAAATATGCGGATGATCTGACTGTATCACTCACTGCCTATCACTTTTGAGTGTGGCTGCTCCAAACTTAATAGCTTTCTGTTGGACATCAGTAAGTGATCCAAGCCAAATGGTCTTATGTTGAATCCTTCCAAATGTCAGGCAGTTAACTTCACTTTCAAGCATCGACGTGACATACACGGACTAGTTAGTTCCCATGATGCCTGTAGCATACATAGATGGCACTGAAATTGAAACCAAGTCAAGCATTAAATACCTTGGATTAGTTCTTTCCTCTCTAACTTTTCATGGTCATCCCACCACATCTTATCAATCTCTAAGAAAATGCTTCGTCTTACCTTCTACCTTAAGAATTTAAGACAATCAGGTATCAAATGAACCTTTATTTATGCAGTTTGTAAACTCCTGTATTTTACCTATTGTATTCTATTGCTCTCAATTAATCTTTCCTGGCCTTCTCATAAAAGACTATATCATATATTACGAAGGGTATTGAATGCTGTGAGTAGGGCTTGTGGTATGCCACTGCGTGAGCTCGCCAATACTTTAGTCGAGAGACACATAAATTTCTGTACAAAATGGGCAACGGCCGTAGTGTCAGACCCTCTGCACCCAGCTTTATTCACAAATATCCCCATGGATCTCATGAGGTAGTACGAGAAGTCAATAATAAAAGTTATATGCTCGAACCACTAAGTACAAAAATTCTACAATACCCTCCCTATTTAGCCTGTATTTTATGTAATGGAAACACTCACTGTTAGACGTGAAGCATATAAGAAGTTACTATGTAATTAGCAAAGTGAATCGACGCTTTCATTGTTCGTTCATCTTTCTGTAATTTTATGGTGTCACCCTTTCTATCGTTTAACTACAACTTAGCTATCTTATTTTTAGTTGTTATTACTATTATTACTACAATTTTATACTTTCTGCATATTTTTCTCCGTATTGCATACGGAAATTTGCGAAATAGCTACCATAACAATGTTTTGTTATTATTATTGTGTAATTTTTATTTCAAATCGTGGAAAATACCCATTGGAACATTAGATTGAGAAGAATAAGAAGTTCAGCAAAGATATCTTTTCGGCGATTTCATTTTCAAAAGCTGTACAATCGCATTTAAATACATAATTTCACATAGAGACAATTCTTGTTTAATTCTACATAATTATGACAGCGAATAAAAGGTGATAATTATTACAAACTGGATATGGTTTTACGAAACAAAATTACGCAGGATTAGAACGCATATCAAGTGTGTAAAAATGAGCATGGATACAAAATTGAAATAATAATTTTCAACTTGAGATGGGAATCAGGAGGTGCGAATATAGATTACAAGAGCCTTAGAAACAAAATTACATGGAATTTAGCAAATTACAGGTGTGCAGAAAGTGAGCATGGAAACAAAATCGATATAATAGTTTTAACTTAAAATGGAAGTTAGGAGGTGTAAATATAGATTACAAGAGCCTTAGAAATACAAAATAATTGCACAGGATTAAGATATAATTGCAAATTTTTTAAAACGGATTATAAATGTGAACAGGAAAAGCATGGAAACAAACTTAAAATAAATGTTTTTATAACTGGAAAAAAAAATGGGGTGAATCGAATGGAGACTGAGGGAGTAAGAATCATACACATAGCGAACGAAAAGGGATGAGCTAGGATATATCCAAAATACGCTGGCCTAAATGGGTTATCCTAGTAGATTTGTTAGGAGACAGGCACATGAATACCAGATACAACAAAGAAAAACTGACAACAGTTAAAAAGAAAGAACTGTTCATGAAACTTCAATTTAATGGGGACGTGGCTAGTGAAGTCTTACATCTGAGATTATCGAGAGCGATAAAACGGACTTATACTGCCGCCACCCTTTGTTTGTCATTTTCCAGCCGACCAATTTTGACTGCTCAAGTGAAAGATAAGCTACCTAGTAGTACCACTTCGATGTGTATCTATAAATTTACTTGCTCCTGTGTGGAGAAAGCTGGCTATATAGGGCGAACAACTAGACAGCTGAACAAACGCATTAATGAGCATCTTCCTTCATGGTTGGGAAAAGGTCAAATGAAATCTATACGAAGTTCTATTTTGGCTCATTTGATTGATGACTGCGGTCACCAAGTGGACAAAATTAGTGCCGCCTTCAAAGTTATCTATCGTATTCCATCGAGTCTATCGAATGGAATCAGAACCCGTCTTTTAAACCTAGCCGAAGAAGCTATGGGAATTAATTCGAGAGAACAATCCTAGTCTTTGCATACGACAAAAGAAGTTTGTTCTACCTTTGTCTCTCCCTTGCTTAGCCTAGGTGAACTGTATTCAAAACCCTCCTCCTTTGTACTTTTATAATAATTATTTAAACTCTGATTATCGTTCCACTTCACCTTTCAAGATTTGACCCAATTTATTTATTTATACACTTATATACATATACTATCTTTGTTATTCTTATCGCCACCTGCATAAACCTTATTATCAATATTTTGTTATCATTATAATCATCGTAAATAATTTCGTTCAAAACATTTACCACATTATTATTATTGCTATTATTATTATTATTATTTAGATTATTATTTGTTTCCCAAAGTCACCGTGATTGGTTAAAATTTTATATATAAATCTATGTAAGTTAGAGTAAAGCCTGAAGAAGCGGATCTAATTGAAAACAACAATATTGTTCGCTTATATGTCTTGTTCTAACAGGAATTACGCAGGGGAATCACTTTTTTTTACAATTACTCAAATAAAAGATATTGTACACTTTAAAAAACAATAACTCTGCCTGAACATGAGGATGTTAACATTTTTATCAATTTATAATACCATTAAAAAAACACATTTGAAATGAATTTAACGTGTGAATTCTCATTATCGACCACGGGAATCTTTACTGGTGGCTAGCTGTCACTTGTTTGCTCAACAACAACAACAAACCTTTGGATATATTTACACATCCACTTGTTATTTCAGAGAAAGGTCAAATGTCAGGTCACAAGAACTATTACTGGTTATTACATATATTTCAAAGTGATATTCAAAGAACCTTTCAGCGATCATCTTCTACTGACAGTATGAAATAACGACGGATTCACCTGACGTCAAATATCCCTTGTATTTATCATGTTCATCAAGTGTAGAAGTAAGTGACTAGTGTTCGACTCCTTCTTATCGATTGATACATAACGTCGTATTGAAAAAACAAAAATTTGCACAACTGCTAACATCAAAAAAAAGAAACTTGCCGGTAATTTGACGCTTGACAAACAAACAGCTCATTGGGGATTATGAATTCTCCGGAGACAATGATAATTTTCGCTGAAACACCAAGAAACATATTCATTGAATGTCAAACACTCAAACAAAACTATTCTTACATACAAAATTTACGATGTATCTCTTCAAATGTAATCGGTGTAATCGTGGGCTACCTACTGCCTGTCTACAGCATACCCTGTATCCTCGCCAACCTCTTCATCGCTATCACTGTGATGTTCCGGTGGAGGACAGCAGCACGTCAATTGATTTATATCTCGGGGATTTGTTTATCCAGTGCTACAGCCGATGTCTTCTTCATATGGTTATGGCAGTATCCCGCCTTTGGTTTACCCTATACAACAAACGGCACGAAATTCTTCACGCTGGTCAACGTCTCTCCGACAGCTTGTCCTTTCCATCGTTTTGTCTATTCATCCAGTGCCACGCTGATGTGCAATATGCGTGTTTGCTCCTCGCTGGACAGGTGTCTGGCTATCTACGTGCCAATAAAGTTGAAACGTTTTCATCATATATATGCTTGGTTCGTGTATGGATTTATGGTGTGTTTCAGTGCATTACTCATGCTACCGTTAGCTACAGAAATGGATTGGATCCCATCAAAATCCGGGATCAAATGTTGGTTTCGTAACAGCAGTAAAGTTTACCTACAACTGCATCATGCCTTCCTATCAAATTTAGGACCAATTCAGACTATACTACTCATAATCATCGATTTAGCCTTTGCTGTTAAATTTCGTCAACATTTTCATCAACATAGAAACAGGGAGAATGCAACAGATAGACAGCGAAAAGACAGTAGAAAGTTCAATCGTTATCGACTGTTGTTTATCTCAGCTGCGTCTTACACCCTACTGGCTACAGTCCAGTGTATATCCTTATCAATTGCTCGTTTGACTAGTGTTCATATCATCAAATTTGAAAAAGGCCTTGCTTATAATGTCTCAGACATTTTATGGTATTTAAATATTCTCAGGGGAGTTTTAGACTTTGTCATATATCAAAAGTGCTTTAGAATATTTGACGTTATTCTTTTGAAGCTGTCTGTTATTAGTTTCTGGCGTACACTGACCACTAGGTCAAGTAGTCTGTACACTGGAACCGGAATGACTACAGAGTAAACTGTGGTAACACTATTGATTATATTTTAATGTGATATGAGTTTAGAGAAGAGCTCGTGTAATGGTGCTGAATTTGATTTGATAGATACGCGTTTTTGTTGATTTCCCTTTAGGTATCTTTTATTTGTTTGCGATTACATTTCTAGGGTTTTTGAAGATGTGTGTCCTGTTCAATGGATTACTACATTATTTTGCTAAATGATTTTTTATTTTCTTTAGTGAATTCTGTTCATTGTAAATGGTACTGACTATGAGAGAAATACGGAGAATTTATTGATTTTCATTTGAAAACAATTATATTATTTTTTAGAGAAGAATGTATTATTATTATTTTTGTTCCCTTGGGTTCCTAGTGGAACATAGGGCTTCAACTGCACGCCTCCACTTGCTGCTTCTGTCTTCTGCCAATGTACTTTTCACTTGCATCCATGTTAATCCATATTGTTTCAGTTCCTCTTCACATGGTCTCCTCCATGTCACCCTTGGACGGCTCACTCGCCGCCGCTTCCCTTTCGTATTCCACTCGAGCAATGGCCTGACGCGCGATGTCACCCAACGAGTGGCCTCCTCAGCGAGTGTCCAATCCATCTCCACTTTCTCCTGCATATTTCTCAGGCGATTGGTTCTTGTTTTGTTTGTTCCCATAGCTTCTTGTTTGTGATTCTTTCCGGCCATCTGATCTTGAGTATAGAAAGAAGACAGTTGTTGATAAAGGTATGCAACAGGCTGTTGGAAATATTATTTGTGACCCGCCAAGTTTCTGATCCGTATAGAAGAACTGACTGACTTGACGTTTGTATTGAAAATCCGAATTTTGTTGTTGATGCTGAGTGACGATTGGTTTCAGGTCGGTGAATGTGTTTCTCGCCTTCCCGATTCTCGATTTGACATCCTCGTCCGTTCCTCCTCCTGTAGTTGAGACAATGCTCCCTAGATAAGTGAATGAAGTAACCTCTTTCAAATCCCTCCCGTTGATGGTGATTGGCGGCGCTGGATGTTGCCGCTGTTGTTGTTGTTGGTTGGTTATTTTCATAACCTCCGTCTTGTCTATGTTCACCTGGATGGAGTCCTGTGTTTGCTGTTTCTTCGACCAGTTTGTTTGTGGGTTTTTGCTTGTAAGTCTTCGATTTTGTGTGACATCAAACATGAATCATCCACGCGCGAAATCCAGGTCTTCTAGGTTCTTCACATCGGTCCAGGGTATCCCTGTCTTCTCGTTTCCCACTGTCTGACGACGCGTAATCCAGTCCACCACAATTAGGACTGGATTTCATCATGAGCTGACGTCAATTAGAGAAGCATTGTAAAACCAGCCACATGGAGTACTGGACAGGTGTTTCGAAATCCAGCGGATGCATTCTGATGAAGAGTCAATTACAGACTGGGCTGACGAAACAGCTATCCAGTACTTCAGCCCAACTTCAAAAGTTTGCTGGAGGTAAGTAGATGACACATTCACTGTACTTAGAACACAGGAAGGATATAGAAAGATTTTTTGAACACACTTACTCAGAGGTGGACGCGATTAAATTCACTTATAACGAATTGTAAAGTCGGGAAGCGGAACGTGCATTGTAAGATTGTAGTGTAAAAAGGAGAGAAGGTGGAAAGTTAAACACACATTATTGTTTACACGAAACCCACACATTCCAACAGACATTTAGACTTCCGATCATCCCACCCTACGTCAGTTAAAATAAGTTTGGTCAGATGTTTAAGTGACAGAGCACAAAATCTAAGCAGTACCAAGGAAACATTTGTAAAAAATTGTATTTATAAAATCTCACGGAGATGGAAATGAGTAATTCCAACTTTTTATTCGCCAATCTGGTCCGAACCCCTTCATATGCTTACTTAACTTACTTACATCCTTACTTAACTCCGACCACTGCATCATACGTGTATTGCAAAACAAATATATTCCAAATCACACAAAGATGTGTTCTTTCACCTCTACAGTAAATTTCAACAGAGATGCTACTCACAAGACAACTCACGGCAAGCTCACGTCCATGTTGAAAGACACTAACTGGGACCTATTTACAGAAAAAGGATTAGATGACACAATCACAAACACTACAGATTATCTTAAATTCTGTTTCGAAATATGTTGTCCTAAAGAAACATTATTCATTCGAGTTGACCGTTTCTCTTATCCACATATCAAAAAGCTACGGAGAGATAGAGAACTGTTGTTCAAAACAAATGATAAGTGAGGTGTAGAAAGGTTGAATACTCTGATAAAACTCGGAATACAAAGACTAAATGTTTTATATAATCAAAGATTCTTGTCATGTAAAACCCCTTCCAGTTTGTGGAAAACTTTCAAATAAATTACTAGTGGTAAGTGATCTACTTCTGTCCAGTCTTCTAATGCTGATATTCTAAATACGTCTTTCATACTCTCTTCTGTCCACATCCTTCTTGATGGTACAAATCATAAAGACAATAATTTTAGTGGTTTCAATACCCTTGATGTGCTCAAATGTCTTCGGTCTCTTAAGCCTTCCAAAGGCCTTGGTTCTGATGGTGTAGCTGCCCTTGTCTTCAGGAACTATGGTGGTATTTTGTGTTACCATCTTACTAACATTTTTAATGCTTCCTTTTCCAGTAATGTTCTACCATTTGCATGGAAGAGCAATAAAATTATCCCCATACCAAAACCATCTTGTGGTACTGACACTAAATTTAGGCCTATTGCAATTACTTCTCCTTTTTGAAAATTGATGGGAAAATTACTTTTATTTCATCTTGAACCTCCATTGAAATCTTTCAGCGATCCTAAACAATTTGCATATAAACATGGTAGATGCAATTCGGATGCTGTGGTTGTCTTATATCATAATCTTATTTCTTGTTCAGTTAGACAAAGGTGCCGAATATGTTCGTGGTGCTTTCCCAGACTGCACATCTGCTTTTGACTCTGTGCCTAGAGGTCTTTTATTAAATAAGCTTTCATTGATGCAAACAGGATCCTGAGCTAACAGTTGGTTGCATTCTTATTTTTCTGATAGAATGCATGCAGTATACTGTATATAATGGCAAATCTTCTTCTGTCTCGCTTACAAAAGCTGGTGTTCCTCATGATGCCGTCCTCTCTCCTTGTCCTTTTTCTTTCTCCCTACATGACCTGCCTCATTTAGAGGAAACTGACTTTGTCAAATATGCGAATGATCTAACTTTATCACTCACTGCCTATCACTTCCGAGTCTTACTGCTCCAAACTTAATAGCTTTCTGTTCGACATCACCAAGTGATCCAAGTCAAATGGTCTGATGTAAAATCCTTCCAAATATCAGGCAGTTAACTTCACTTTCAAGCATCGACGTGTCATATATGGACTATTTAGTTCACATGACGCCTGTAGCATACATAGATGGCACTGAAATTGAAACCAGATCAAGCACCAATTACCTCGGATTACTTCGTTCCTCTGACCTTTCATGGTCATACCATCACAGCTTATCAATCCCTAAGAAAATGCTTCGTTTTACCTTCTACACTAAAAAGTTAAGACAATCAGGTATCAAGCAAGCTTTATTTCTGCAGTTTGTAAACTGCCGTATTTTACCAGTTGTACTTTATTGCTCTCCATTAATCTTTCATGGGCTTCTCGAAAAACACTGTATCATATTACGAAGATTATTAAATGCTGTGAGTGGGGCTTGTGGTTTGCCACTGCGTGAGCTCGCCAATATTATAGTCGAGAGACACATAAATTCCTGTACAAAATGGGCAAAGGCGGTATTGTCAGACTCTTTGCACCACTTTTATTCACAACTATCCCCTTGCATCTTATCAGGTAAGACGAGAAGTCAATAATATAAGAAGTTGTATCCTCGAACCACTAAGTACAAAAATTCTACAATACTCTCCCTATTTAGCCCGTATTTTATGTGATGAAGACTCTGTTAGACATTAAACATATAAGAAGTTACTACGTAATTAGCAAAGTGAATCGACCCTTTCATCGTTCATTCATCTTTCTGTGATTTTATGGTGTCACCCTTTCTATCGTTTAATTATAACTATGCTATTTTATATTAGTTGTTATTACTATTATTACTATAATTTTATACTTGATGCATATTTTTCTCCTTATCGCATACTGACTGTAATTGCTACATAGCTGCTGGTATAACAACGTTTTTTTATTATTGATTATGCAATGTTTATATTTTTGGATGTTTCGAGTAAATCAGATGCAATATTGTACTGAATGCTGAAAATTCCTTGCTGTATCATTAGTACTGTTTTTGGAATAAAGAAAAAATTATTATTATTCTGCATTGTGTATTTCCTTTCATTACAGAATTTCAAAAGCAGTGCAAGCTTTAGCTTTCCATATTTACAGAATTCGTACTTCTGAACACTGAAGAAGGAATATATCGTCGACTCAGTTAAAGAAATCTTTATAGCCTTCAATTTGTCACTTTTATTGTTGTTAGTTTCACCTTCCAAATTTGAAGAGTTGTTGGTGTCATTGAAGTTGATTGACACTTTCATCAACTTCAACACTTTGAAGTAGAAAATACATTCATTCTACTTTGGGTTACCTATCTCAATTTCTTTAAGCAATGCTTTATATATCTTATAATAATAATAATAATTTGCTTTATTCCAAAATAGTACACTTGTGATACAGAATGGAATCCTCAGCATTTTTACTACAGTATTGCATCCAGTTTGTGTACATTATCAATAAATAGAATTCTACATAGATTAAGGCTAATCTCAGTTCATTATTACAACAACATATTGTCATGTCGGTAGCAAAGCCAAAGTTGAACAGAGTGTTCGAAGGCGTTAGAAAATTGGGAGCTGTCTTATTTACTGGCGTAAGCGAGAGAAAGAAACAAAGCAGCAAATAACGGAAAAGAGAGAGAGAGAATAGGAAAAGAAAGAAAGAAAACGTTGTACCTATAAATGATATGAGTTGGAAAGACGACGTCCAATTGTTCTACTGACTATTTAATGAATTATAGGTGTCACGCCTAATGCTTTCATTATCGCACAGAACACGAGCCAAGTAGCGTATGGTTGAGTTTTTGTACTTTCTGGTGCGAGCATATAGTTTTCTATATAGGCTTCTGGTTTTACCTGATGAGATGCAAGGGGAGAGTTGTGAGTGAAGAGGGTGGTGGTGT